AAAAATGTTAAAAACTTGTTCTAAGTCTTCTGATAATCCCCTTTATCAATTTTATGCCTTAAATATGTTGTTTCTTCGTAATAAATAATTTAGGATTAAAAGGGTTAAGATCACAATCTATTTAATGCGCTAAACTTCTCGCTGTAAATGGTATTTTGCCTTTAGTTCCGCAGATCTTTAAATAATTATGGTGTCATTCGAAAGGCTCGGTGTGAAGATTTACAACACAGTTTTAAAACAGTGCCTTTATGGAAACAAATATGTTAATTTCAACGAACACAATAAACGCTCAGATTCATTTCTAAGTAATCGAACTTTCAGTGGTATCGATCCACTCTTTATTTACACGAATCTTAGTGGTAGTTCAATGTTACGTGGTAGTTCGGGAGAAGGCAGTGGCATTAGCAGTTGGTGTGGTTGGTTGGTGTGGTGTAAGTAGTTCGGAAAAATAGTGATGATAAAAAGGGTATTATTAATTTGTTCATTGGGATTTCGTGAATCTTCCAATACTAGGACCTAAGGCCCATGCAATGATCTAATGAGATGGTAATGATAACAATCTTGATGAAGTGAATTTGCAAGGATTGATGTTGCAAGTATGATGGAATAACGGTAGGTGAAACTGGAGAACCCTGAGGAACTGGAGAACCGGCTAAGGTGTCTAATGGCATCAACTAAGATTACTGCAGTGCGTCTAACTGGGAGGTCCTAGATTTCGTGTCCCGCAGCAAGAGTTTCGACACTAGTTAGGTCCGCTGTCTGGACGAGAATTCTAGCGGCCGACTGCTCCGAACGGTTGTTTTCCGATCAACACCAGGCGAATGCCGGAGCAAACAGGCGACGGACAGAACGTGATATTTCCTTTCTTTTTCTTGTATGCTGGATTACACACTTACGATTACATTCATTACACTACCACACGCCGCAAGAGAGATACCTGGGTGGGAAAATTCCCTAGCCGACTTTTCGGTCGGCACCGTCTCCCTCCATCCAGCAGGGGGAACACATCGCCACCTCGAGGATGAAAACATGCACTACACTTGCGGGAGCAATATCATAACAGAGAATTAAAAATGTTCTACCGATACACAACATCAAAATATTCAACACAAAAGGTGGGTAGGCTAACTTAACGTTAAGTAAACATACCCACAAAAGAAAAACTCATGAAACAAACATCTATAAGAAGGTTGCCTTTTATGTTTCGGGATTTGGCAACCCTGGTGTTGCAATCTGGCTACTGACAGCTCTAAGTAAGTAAAGTTGGATGTTTTGAGGTTATACGTACTCAGAACGTTTTGACATACGAGCGCTATTTGTGTTGTTTACAGTAACTTAAAAGATTCATCTTGGCCCAAAAACGGAATTAAATCGTGAACATTTTCGTGCGATTATTTTTTACAAGTTTCGACGTGAATATACTCAACAACTGTGCATGAATGAACTTCATTCAATTTTTGGCGATGAAGCTCCATCAAGGACCAGTGTTTATCGATGGTGTGGTGAATTCAATCGTGGTCGTAGTTCACTCCAAGACGAATTTCGCGAAGGTCGTCCAAAAACAGTTGTTCCAAAAACCATTGATGCTGTTCGTGAACTGATATTGCAAGATCATGTGACCTATCATGGGGTTGAGGCAAACTTAGGCATTAGTGGGAGCAGCATACATTTTATATTGCATGAACATCTGACTGTCAAAAAAAATTGTTCGCGTTGGATCCCACACAATTTGTCAATCGCTCAAAAAAAAGGCTCGTGTCGATTGGTCGAAAGAAATACTCAAAAAATACGATCGTGGTGCTTCGAAACACGTCTATGACATCGTGACATATGATGAATCCTGGATTTACGCGTATGAGCCTGAAAGTAAACAGCAGTCGACTGTATGGGTGTTTCAAGCTGAGCAAAATCCAACAAAAGTTGTTCGCGCACGAAGCACTTCCAAATAGATGGTCGCCTGTTTTTTTCGAAAAAGCTGGACATGTTGCAACCGTACCACTAGAACAACGCAGAACAGTCAATTCTGAGTGGTACACAACGATTTGTTTGCCAGCTGTCTTCCAAGAAATCAGGAAAACCAACCGCCGAAGACGAATCACTCTTCACCACGACAATGCGAGCTCTCACACATCAACTCAAGCAACTGCATTTTTGAGTCATCGGCCGTACAGTCCTGACTTGGCACCGAATGACAACTTTTTATTCCCGTACGTAAAAAACAAACTGAGAGGTCAACGTTTTTCGACACCTGAAGGAGTGGTTGGTGCATTCAGAATGCATGTTTTGGAGATACCTCAATCAGAGTGGCGAAAGTGCTTCGACAATTGGTTCAAACGTATGCAAAAGTGTATAGATCTTCATGGAGAATATTTTGAAAAACAATAAAGTGATTTTCGATTATTAATATTTTTTTCTCTAATCCTGAAACATAAGCGGTCGTTAATAGTCATGAGGGATACATACGCTGCACTTTCTCGACTTTTGGGGCAAAGGTGATAGTGTTTAATTACCAATTCATTGCCTAGCAGAATGTATGGAAGAAACTGGCCCTCTGGCTGGGAACCTAAAATTAACTTGCAAACATTATTGTATTTTCTGTTAAATTTTTCTGTATATACTTTTCCTGATTATGAAAGACGGCATCAACAATTTTATTTAAATTTTGACGTCCGATATACTACGAAGTGATTAAGAGAATGGTGCAAATCTTCAATAAAGTATGCAATACTTAAGAAAATGCTGTGGATCTCACGTTAATTGAAAATTCTGATTTTTGAAAATTGCTAAAATTTGTTTCAGCCTGTGCTACAATTATAATTGTAAGGTAAATATTTTTAATGAAATGTGTTTATCAAAAATAAATCTTTAAATAATAGCACGTTCTATTTTACGAACATATGAGTATGTTTTGCGAAATTTTGCTTCAAATATAGGCCGAGTTTATTTTCTATAAACAATTGTTTCTTAAAAACTGCACAAAATATTTTGATTCAATTTGGACCTAGGTAGCATAAAAAACGCTTAAGAAAAGTCTTCAGTGTTGAAATCCACATGACATTCGGTTAAATTTTCTGATGTCTGAATATTCACATGACATTTACCGGCTCACCTTCTATGAAACTCTGAGAGTTAATTATTGTTGATTTGTGCCACTGGTTGGAGATGTGATTTTTACAAGCTTTACTCATATGTATGACATATAAGCGCGTAAATGGCTACACATTGAAGGAACCTAAAATACCTAGCACTGATGCAGAAGCAGGAGGGATAACGTACTCGTAGTACAGGCCCAATGCTCCTTCTACACTTTCGAATATGTAAGCCAAGGAACATACGTCTTTAGCCACTAGTGTCTGAACTTTCTAATCACATTGTTTGCACCAATTGAAAAATTGTAACTTTCGTCCGGTGTCCAACAATGTCTCAATATTTCCATGTTTGTCTTGTGGTCATTAACGGCGATCGTCCTACTCACATCGTCCTACTCACTCCTTCCAAAATACGATCACAACAACCCTCGTCCTGGACAGCAGAGATTTCGATATCGCCACTACTTTTGTACGACTGACACCAAAGTGACGGATACGAGTATCGACGTTCATGGATACGCGGCTTGATTTTCACCGTTTTCACATTTTTTCCTTCTTCTTTTTCTTTGTCATTACTGCAATGAAATAAATTCATAACATTCAGATAATAAAGAATAATATAGAATTTGGTCAAATTTGGCCATGCTGTTTTCCCTAATGCCATGGTCAACCCTTGCTGTAGCGAGCAGTGTGACCGCACTGTAGTGCTGTCACTGCTCGCTAGGATCTCTCTTTACAGTTATCGTCTCACTGGGGGCGGGGGGGGGGTACACTCGGAGAACAATTTGTCCCCGTTTTTTTAAACCTGTTGATTTATTTCGTTTATTCGTCACTTAATTACAAGATATTAATCAGAATTAACATGACAATCGATTGTTTTATATGATTCATGAACACAATTAAATGGATTATATTTAGGGCGATTAATTTACATATCAATTATACATTATGAACTTAAAGTTCTGTAATTTCAATTAAATTTTAATTTTTTTAAATTTCTAAGGTTGTATTTAGATTTACTAATCTAAAAATGTTGCCATTTCGAAAAAAATCGAGATCAGAAGCACCCAATTACAATATAGTGTATGCAGCGTATTCGGCAAGGCGACTTTAAGCGGCCTCGGAGAGCGGCCTCGAAGCGACCTCCGAGTCGCACAGAGCTGTCTCGACGAACGAAACAATCACAGTTGTAGGTATTGTTGTTTTCGACCCAATTCACCAGGTTACACCAGCATAGATAATGAACAAAAGTCTGTTAAATAGGTGTACTACAAACGCTTTCAAGTGAACCATCACGTGTCTAAGTCAAAAATAATAGGGTTGGCAAACAATGTTAACTATACTCGCATGCCGCGAGCACACTTTGGCAACACATTGGCTTTCTGTTCCTCATTGTCCAGTAATGACCGGAAGAATAGGCACTGCGCTGTAAGGGGCTGGCATTAAGGGCTTGTCATGGGCGCGGGCGATGTCATTAGCATGGTGCTTCGCGGCCCTGAATTGGAACACGTGCCCGTAAAAGCGTTTGTTCCCTCGACGGACATTCTCTTGCAATTGGCAGGACTGCACCCCCCCCCAGGAACGATGATTTGCTCCGTGGAAAATGCGGAAGTTTGGAATTATTTTGGTTTCCATTGCTGAAATTCGCATTGATTGGAAAGTTATATTGCTAATGTTGGGATTGGCATGAAGAAGGAATTTCAACCTGGCAAAATATTTCTTCTTAACTGCGAGTATTTACGAAAAGTGAACTATTCTACAATTTGCAAGGTTTTCAACACGTCTCTTCAGTTTCTGTGACCTGATAATATCAAATAGAGCGAAAAGCTTCGATTTGTGCCTGATGACTCATCGTATATTGTGAAGGCTGGAACTTATTTACAAGCATGGTTACAATAACGTGCCTTGCTAATGCGTGTCATCGTTTTGTTGGAGAAGTGCCAGATCTTTTTCCTTCTGGAACAAACTGATTGCAAACGTAAAGAAGATTATTGTGAAATCCCCATCGAGAGTGTTATCTTTTAAGTCCTATGCCCCTGATGTTTCTTTACCACCATCTCCTGTTCTTACCAGATGGGAACCCGGATAGAAACCTATGTATACTTTTGTGAAAAATTCTCTGAGGTGAGAAAAATAGTAAACTATTTTTAAAGTAGTGAATCAATGAGTATAAAAGTAGCTCAGGAACTCTTAACTGACATAGAAAGGGAAGGTTTAAATTTTTTTTAATATAAAATCGAACTTTGTGTTCCTTTCAACCACTTTAGCTTCTTCTGAAGAACTCGGTGCTAGATTGGTTAATCAAATTGCTATCTTCAAGATAGTTCAAAATAACATCCAGACAATTGGAGGTGAAATTGGTGAAAAAATCATAGCAAAATTAGAACAATTTCTGAGGAAAAATATGCACCTAATGCATCACATAATGTTGAACGTAGTTTTTCTATGGGCAAAAGTCCCCTAGCTGAAAATAGTCAATCATTTGTATTTGAAAATCTAAAAATGGTATTTGTGGCACATTGCAACTCAAAATTCAAGGGTTTAATAGGAATGTAAATTGTAAGTAAAAAATATTAATAAAATGTTTATTCACTACTAGCGTAAACCAGCAGACGATGACCTGCACTTCTTTCTTCGGTTAAGCCAATACTTTGCCATAATAAAATATTTAGAATAAATTGAATATTGTAACACTCAGTTAAGAATTGAAGTTAATACTTCATTCTCTTATATATAAAAGACAATGTTTTTGGATCATACTTAATGAGCTGCCGTACCGTTCATCAGATTGCTATGAAACTTTGTAAACTTATTTCTGGCACTTGTGGGAGGACAGGCATAGTACAACGAGAATGTTCATATGCCTGGGCACGTAGACGAGAGCTGATGATGATTTTATGGTGACCTAAGCGCCCCTGTTCAGGTTATCTATGCAACCCGCAATACCCTGAAGTAATAAGTGTGCCTGTCTCAGCAATTGTGTGAAATGTCGCCAGAGAGAAACAGGTACCGAGGGAGATTATATATATATATATATATATATATATATATATACACATATATATACATATATACACATATATATACATATATACATATATATACATATATACATATATATATATATACATATATACATATATATATACATATATATATATATATATATACATATACATACATGCAGGACGTCTGCCGGGTTCCGCTAGTTATCTCTACAATAATGGTTGAATATTCACAATTATCAATCGTTCACTTTTCTACTTCATTTATCTGAATCCTTTAGGGCCAAAGATACACTCTTAAAACCTGGTAATTGCAACCAAACGCTTTTTGAAGTCACAAAAAGGGTTATGGTACATATATTTTATTCTCGTTTTCATATCGATACATGACACGTACAGAACGGTAAGAAAACAACTCACGTCAAATTGACTTATAGTCGAGGCTTGATTTCTGGCGGAACGCGATGGAACGGCGTACCAGAACGTCAGGAATAATAATTAAATTATATCATTAATATATAAGTGTTTCTATTTAATTAATAATTAATTTGGAGCACGTTCCGAGACCTCCAGTTTTATAAAGCAAGCACTGCTTGTACTCATACGTAATTACTATCTCTAGGTAACCACTTTTCTTTTTACGTTGAAATTATTAGTAGCACGATACATATCGTAAATAAACGTAACAAAAAGGGCCGTCGATTTGTCGACAGGTGGTGCTGGAGAAGCTGCCCAAGTACAACTGCAACAACGGTTCGGAGTGCGAGCGGCTGACGGGTGTGTTCTCCTGCCAAAAGGGACATTGCGTCAACATGAGCTCACAGATGCTCTGCCCTGTGCGCGCTGACGGGATACACGTGAACAGCGAGCGCGAGAACGCCAAGCTCAACGGCAACTTCTTGTGCAACCGCTCGAACTGCACCAAGGTGAAGCATCAGCTCAACTGCGACAGGTGAGTACTGCTGACTTCCACGAAAAAATGAAACATATTACTTTCTCGTTTAATATAGTCTTTCATTATACAGCCACCAAAAATTGTGTTCGTGTCTTGGAATCATCCCACGTTTCCTATATGTTTCTGGGGTTCGAATCCGGAGTCCATTTACACCATAACATCAGATGTTTGACATATAAAAATATAAAAAATTAAAGATATTTCTAACCAAGGGGTCAAACCATGTTACCTATATGTTTTGGGGTCGCTGAAACTGAATCTTAAGTCCATTTAACTTCATCACAACAGATGTTTTTACAATTCACATCAATTATAATTGATGGAGAAGGTGGCATTGGCCCCTGACAGAACAATATTCCTCTAGTTATTTTATGGTAGATTGCCTATATCGTTGGCGCCAAAACACTAGCCTTCTCTCCAAGCAGATAAGAGTTCTTTTAATTTGAGATTATGTGAAAAATATGATGTGAAGTTAAATTGACATTATATTCAGTATCAGCGACCCCAAAAACATATAGGTAACATGGTTTGACCCCTTGGTTAGAAATATCTTTCATTTTTGGGGGGGGGGAGGTATTCGAGCGGGGCACACTGACCTTGACCGACCAGCAGTGGTCCAGCCACTCGGCCATGGAATAAGAGGTTCCTGTGATTAGCACGAAGTATATACTGGTCTTCATAACCTTCGGGTGATTTCCTCGTCGTCACACAAAAATAGATCCTGGGGCATTAGTAAGCTAAGCGCACAGTTATAATTTTGCCCCGACTGGGAATGGAACCTAGAGTTTCGCCATGAAAAGCAAGGACGCTAACCAGCGAGCCACCGAGAGGCTAAAACAGTTTCTACCATACTCAATTCCAATTGATCTGACCTTCTGTCGTTCGGATAAGAGCTACAATTGCCGCTGGCTCTGCAGCAACTTTGGCCAGTTCGTGCCAGTTTAGAGTTCGAGTCCTGCAAGCCGGCAGATTATGGGTACCATCTCCATAGCTAGGTCGAATTCAGCCGATGTCTGAAGGAGAATTCTAGAAGCTGGCTCTTCTAATCGATAGTTTTTCGTGGTTTCTTCTATCAGTACCCTAACAAACTGGCCACGGACCGCGGAATCTTCCCTTTCTCTTCCTTATATCCCTCTCCCCTTACACACAAACTTACTTGCACTACGCTACCACAAACGTCGGGAAAGCAGCCGGTATCTTAGAGCTTGGTCTTGTCGAGACAGATACCTGCTGGGGGAGATATCTCCCGCAAGCCGATATGTAGGTCAGTGCCAGATCTCAGCATCCAGGGGCGAACCCGAAAACAGCACCACCTTTAGGGGGGGAAACATTCACTACGCTGTCGGTACTACTGACCGTAGCAGGTCACGGGCCCGGAAGCGCCAATCAACAGACTTCCGTTTGTGTTGGGGCAGGCTGTGCGACAAGATCGAGGGCGCGGGCAAGAACGTGTTCGTGTCGCTGGGCGACGACGTGTTCGGCGCGGAGTGCGCGCGCGCAGAAGCGCTGCACGAGGCCAATGGCACGGAGCCCGGCCGCCCCATCAACGCCACCGAGTTCTGGCCGCAGCTGCAGCCGCCCGACGACGTCGAGCCCACCGACGCCCCCGACCAGGCCTCCGTCACCGACAGCACCGGCAGCGGCGGCTCCGACACCACCTTCCCCAGCGGCGGCACCATCGCCAGCAGCACCACCCCCAGCCCTGCGCCCCCCACCACCACCTCCCCGCCCACCACGGGCCCCGACGCGCTCGTCGTCACCTGCCGCGACGTCGTCGTGGAAGACGATACCATTCGGTGAGCACATCCACTGGCGTTCCGCATTCATTACTTTTGCGACCGATTGTACAATCTGCCAAAGGTACAAAATTTAAAGGGAATGTACTATAACGTGTGAAGTTTTTCTGATATGCATTCATGTAATTAGTAGTGTTTACATGTCACGAAAAGAAATTCTTTTTGCTGCATGCCACTCGATTCGAGCTGACATTCCCGAACCCCATGTACACACGCGAGAATTCGACTTACACACGCTTGAATATCGAATATAATGGTTACTAGCTTAATGTTGCGTCCACGGCGCTTTAAGTGATATGAAAAATAAACTGAAACTTGCCTTAAGCGCCTATTGATGCTCCTGGAGAAAAATGACCCTTACAAGGGGCCGATCTAGGAAATAAAAATTTGGTAAATAACGTCCGGTCTATTTTTGTTGAACTTAATTTAGTTTTGTAATATCTTCGAGATAGTGAAGTGTGATTTCTTCAATATTACATTTTTAATTTCACTTACAAGTGCAAAACATCAAACGCATGTATGCACGAGTGTACTTGAATCACTCGTTTACAAAATTCTTCAAATTTCAAAAATTGCATTAATTTATTTTTCACGCAACTGATTGGTCGTTTTCATTCGTGGGCAGGATTCCCAATTAGATATTAAGCTGCAGTTAACAACCCAAACAGGCACGAAAATAATTTATTGTTATGTCGATAGCGTAGCACAATCATTGTATACCACTCGCGGTCATTTCTGAGTTAATATCAGTTTTAGAAACCTCTCATGTGCCTAATGTACAAATATTGTGTGTCCATATAAGAAGCATCAGGGTTTTTACTATCTTGCTACCGCTTATCTAGTAGAAATACAGTTATCTAATGCTGCGAGAAAAAACGGAGAATTTTCGGCAGAAAAACTGTTATAGCAGGCGTGGGGGAAATTATCCACCACGTAGCTAGAATTCTCGTTTCGTGAGTTCTTGATACCAAAAAATCGATTGAAAGCTGTGTGCCCATCTGAGAACAACGCTAGCGGCTAAACCATTCAGCCGATATTCTCCAAAATTGATATTCCCCATTCGATGTTGCTGATGCGCGGTTACTTCATTTTGAAACCGACATTTAACTCTGGAGGGCGCTTTACACGAAACCTCTGGAATATTTTCTAATTTTCAAAAATAGCTTAAAATTTTGACTACATTTTGTTATTGAATAACGTTATAAACTCTTAACAGAAATGTGCAGGTCTCATATTCGCTAAAAATAATCAGTTTTCAAAACCTGAGAAAGTTAAATTTTTTACCGCGTCTTCATACTACTACAATATTAAAAGTTTTTTCCCTTAATAAAATCTGTTCTGACGACAGAATTTTAAATAACGCCACATTCAATATTTTGAAAAATTGAGTTCTTTTGGGGTAATTTTACGTGAAATATAGTCAAATTTCATTTTTGTTTAAACAATGTTTTGTCAAAAACGACACCATTTTTTTATTCATTTTGACCTGGGATAGTGTGTAGGACACTAAACAGAATGGTTGCAGGTTTTATCATGTTCGCCAATATCCCTGATATTTCAAAAATTACAAAAATTAAATTTTTATTCAGCTACTTCCTATAACTACAATTGTGAAGATAATTGTTTTAATGAAATGTGTTCATCATAAATAGTTCTTCAAATAAGGTCATGTTCTTTTTTTCGTATTACGTATTTTTGGTGTAATTTGGCGTCAAACATAGTCGCCAGCTTCGTTTTTCCTGCGCTTCGTGAACATTATTATTAACGTTATAGATCTGCTTGAAGACAGTTGGATGCTACGTAACTTAGAATTATTGTATTATTTCTTGTGTCTTTGTTCGTTTCTTACATTCGAGTCTTTTGTTATATATTGACAAATTAACATTTTAGAAATGATTTAAAACATATTTGATAATCCATTTTTTTTGTGTGCTGCGAGAAATGTATTTGTATTATCAATGTATTGATACATTTTCTTTCAAACAATAGGCAAACTTTAATTGAAATTAGCCCAATTAATTTTTCTCTCTTAAAAATACAATTTAAATGTAATTTAAGAAAAAATGAAAAAGGTTGAGTACCGAACTTTTATTCAACATTAATTTTAAATCGTCATCGTACGCTACTTGGGCAACAATGCAACGATTTGAGGAGTTCATTGTTCAACGACGACAAGATAAGAAGATTTTATTTACTTCTATGAATTCCGTCTAATTGCTGGAATATTATTCTTATACGAAGGTCACGGGGTAAAAGTTCTTAAGTCAAAAAAATTCTTGTTTGGAACAAACAAGGGATATATTTTGAGCCGTAAGCTATATTAAGCCTATCAAGCTATATCTCCCATCGCTTTTTTGTCGTTAAGAAAGTAACATGAATTCGGTCGTTTTACCAAAATAAAATATAGATACTTGTAGTTTCAGTACTTAACCTAATTTCACCAAAAATTCACTTAAGAACTTCTACCCTATGATCAAACGTACAGAGCCCTTCTCAAATTTAGCTGTAGGAAACGCAGTTGTCTTTGTACAATTTGTGCTCATATTTGCTTAAAAAATATTCTAAGATTTGACAACTGACTGAGATTATACCAAAATTCGAAGCGTTTGCACCTTTACAAACATTCAAGCATGGTTTTCTGAAAACTAAGAATTCTGGACATACAATAAGCCAACGTTGTGAAACTGGCATTTTAGAAAAGCAAAAGCTTACCTTTGGGTAAGCAATTCTAAATATGGTTCTAAGTATCGTGACGATGCATTCCGACGGAGAAAGATACTGAATAATCGTAAACCAGTCCAGTCTTCACTTTTTATAACGTTACGAATCATAATGAAGAAAATTGCAAATTCACCAGGAAATTTTGATGGCCTAAAATCACGATATACCAGATGTACCTGGACGCTGACCGCGGGGGCAGATGCCTGATTAAAATTTGTTCACCATTTTATGGAAAAATCAATCGGTTCCTTAAAAGAAATGGCCGTTAATGGAGATGACCGCCTAGTCAAGGTGGCTGGTTTAGCAGGTTTCATTGCATTTTCGTTTTTATTAATTTAAGTGTTTTTAATGGAATGCAACAATGGTCAGTTCCCCACCAGCCGATCGAGACGCGTCAAATTACACATCTCTTGTCCCAAACAGTGGTCTGAAAGGGATTCATATAATAATTTCTTCCAATTCCATATAACTCGTATACTGAGAGATTCGGGAATTCGAGTTTGATTCCCGTCTGGGGCAGTAAATTGTTTGAACAGTCAAATATCATTTGTATTATTATTGGTATTATGTTTTCGAAAGTCACGAAATACAAGGTCAGTTCCCCTCCAGCAGATAGAATCACGACGGATGACACTTCGCGTGCCCAAATGGAGGACTGAAAAGGGTTTCATAAGGAGTGACGGACGGAGATGTACATGGGCGTAATCTTTGAAATTGTCTTCCTAAAATGTCTGTTATCACATCGTTGACTTATTGTACGTCAGGAATTCGTAGTTCCAAACAATCAATTTTAAAGTTTGTAAAGGTGCAAATACTTGCAGTATCGTAATGTCCCTCTTATGTGGACATGCAATATTTATACACTAGGTACATGAGAGGTCTTCAAAACCGATATTAACTCAAAAAATGACCACCAGTGAGCACCCAATGTTTGTGCTAATAATTCGATAAAACAATAAATTATTTCCATGCAAGGTCTGAAGTTTCAGCGGGTTGTATATTGCAGCTTCAAATCAAATTGGGAATCCAGCCCACGAATGAATACGCACACTCAGCGGAGTGCAAAATTAACTAACGCAAACGCTGAAAATTGAAGGATTTTGCCAGCGAGTCGTTTACGTGCAAGGGAGCTGTACGCGGGCCGTGTGGTGGGGCGCCGTGTTGCAGCGGCGTGGACTGCCTGAACGGGTCGCTGGTGCCGCGCGGGCCGGGCGCGCGCCAGCTGCCCGACGCCTTCAACTTCACCACCTTCCGCGCGGTGTACGGGTGGGCGCGCGAGCACCGCCCGGCCGACCCGCACCTGCGCTACGCGCCGCCGCAGCCCGCGCTCACGCTCTACGCCAACAGCCGCCTGCAGATCAACCTGGAGGCGTGCGTCAACACGCTGCAGGACGAGTGCAAGCGCTTCCTCGTCACGCACGGCAAGGACGGACGCAACGACACCGCGCCCTCGCAGTTCCCGTGCTTCTTCGACAAGGTACGAGCCCACCCGCCTGGCTGCCGAGCCCTCAGAGCCGCAAAACCTCACACGGGAATTATGTTTTTCGTATACCAGCATTATAAGCGACCTATTCTGTGGCAAAATTAGTTCGTAAAACGGCGGGAATTTTATGGCATAGATGACGACGTATTAGCATTTTACGGCAAGAATTATTGCGTCATCATACGTTCAGTTAAATGCAGCGAGAGAATCGCGCGGTGGTAGCGGTAAACGGAACAGTCGACCACCGTTTTCTCGCACAGATGTCAAATAACTGAGACATGACAAGAAAGTTGTTTCGCAAAATTAAGTTTAATTCTCTTATAAATTTATAATGCTGCTATCCAAATAATAGCGTAAGTAACTAGTTTGTAATATTTCTTTATTGCACTCGTACAAGTTTGAGAACGAGCATCGATAGGAGCGAGTTTTCAAAACATACACTCATGCAATAAAGCTTAAGATTATAAACTAATTGCAAAACCACTATTATTCACTTAGGTTGTCTAAAGTCAACTTTACGGAACTGTGATCAGTTTCATAGATTTTTTAAACTCAAATGAAACAATAATCCTTGGTCCACACACAACTATAATTACTTTCGAAATGCGTATTATTAGAACACAATTGCTTTAATAATCCATGACAGACACTGTTATCAATATAATTCTGTCACATATTGCAAGATTATTAATCAAATTTAAAAGAAAATTACAGTTAATTTTCTTCAAAGTGGATAAAACGTTATTCGATGTTTGTTCGTAACGCCTCACTACCATCATCGATTGATATAACTGTCCATCTGTCGGCTTCGTTTGATAATTCTCCAATCCGGAATTGTAATAAGATGTCTTACGATACGTAATTCGCAAATTGCACTCCTTATGTCTCACAGCCTCTTCGTCTATTCTCACTCGTAAATAGCTTTAAATATTGCAATGTTTGCTTGAAAAGAAACAGCCAAAACTTGATCTCCCAATAAACTACACAAAAGGCATAAGTAATTCTAATTAATTGAATATTGCCACTGTACTACGAACCACACAAGTAGTCGTTCATAATACAAATAATGTTATTCATATTTATTAATAAATGAAAAATTCTTATTCCAACACAAAAGACAAAAACATCTGCGAGAATTGCTGGCCGAAATAAACAATACTGTACGGGAAAAAAATTTAATTCACCCAAATTCGGAATATGGTGATAGAACACATACACACATCGGATTTGCCCACATTGTTTCCTTGTGAACTTTCCTTTGGGATGGCAATACGAGAACTTTGTTGCAAACATGCGGGTAAACAGGCGAGAAAAGCTAAAAGTTCATTGGCGATAACTGACGAACAATATAGACGCGAAGGCGGAGGATAAACTAACAGCCATGGTCTTAAATACATACCATTTTGCCAGCGTGGAATGAGCCCACAACCCTCTAATAGCGCGCTCAAATTAATACTTCAGAAAGTAATACACCTAGAAAAATGAACCTCACAATGAATGGTTAAAAATGAAATACGATGAAGTAATGGTGACTTTCTCTCTGAAACGTCGCACATGTATCTTACGACTTGTCAATACTCAAAGAAACAATGTCAAGCACTTTTGTTCCGAGAAAAGTTTTCCTGCTTACCGGTGCATTTACTTGCGCTTTTATATTTGTTCAGCATATTCCGCCTCTCATTCCTGTTGGACATTTCAGTTGGGAATCGTCAGCTCTCTCTTCCTCAAATGTAGGTAACCGAAGCAAAATCGACATACGCCAACAAAACACAACGATTAAAAAACACTTTTAGGAACCATCTAAACATTCAAGCCCGTATTACTGAATCAAAATAAAACAAACGGACATCAAACAGATATCGTGTGAAAAGGGGTCTTCTTTTTCCGAGGCACGCTCCCTTTTTTCCCGTGACACGTCGATCGATGCGCGCGGACACGGCGTCACACACGTAAACATGCGCACGTGGCGAGGGCTTTCGAAGCCGCCCGGCGGCGGAAGCCGCAATCGCCTCCAGAGAAAGAAGGCGGTCTGACGCGTCGCGCAGTGGGGCTGCGGACAACGGGAAGCGACGGAAACGCAAACCGTGAAATTATACAAGGAAAGAAAATGTTTCATCATTCAGAGTCGAGTCATATTTTGAAATATCAGTAGTCTCGTAGTCAAAAGATTATAAAAGCAAAGAATAAAAATCAAATAAGCCTATATACGAATGGAACATACTAAGAAAAGGCTCAGAGATCTAAATGTATTTAAATGAAAAATTAATAACAATGGGAGATCAATTTTGTCACTTCTGTTCCTTGTATATGTCTGGAGAATTGTTTCAAAGTTCATAACAATTTCGTAAAAAACGTAAGAAATTTAAAAATAAACGAAAACGTATACTTTGTAACGTATTATTTCGTTCAGTTTATTCGGATATCAATTTTTATTCTCATGTAAACATTCTGAGAAAAAAGATGTCACAACAGTAGTCACCCCAGGATGTTCTGCAATTGCTGACAACTCAGATATTACTGCATTGATGAACTTGAAAACAAAGAATTTTTTAAAAACACTGTAAGAATGTACTAACATTGTGTGATTCCTAAGGTCAAAGATACTGAAAGGGGAAAAAGAGTAAAAGTTCCTACTGAGCTTCATTCACTGCCAAATGCCTCTTTTAGAAGCACATAGAACCTTTTCTAGGACACATTTTCTGCTATCTCTACTGGTAGGTTTCTTCCAAATGCATACTACAGATTTCTCCCCAGACTCATCGTTTGTGTATCTTATACTCTAAACCACATGTAATATATGTTATATCAAATATGATACAAATTAAAATTCATGTGAAAATTAATAATGAAATTACTTGATGACCAATTATATTGCTCTTTTTCATTGCATTTAACATTTTTAACAATGAATATTACTCTTCCATTAATTTGTTATTTTTAAGTCCTTAGGAAATGATGACAAAATATGGACTCTCATTCCCATTTTATATTCATAAATCAAAAATGTATGAAGTCTATGCGGGGATTGGTTGCCCCGAAACTGTAGCAACTCATGATGAGACTCGAAAAATAACGAACAATTTTATAAAATTGTCTCTCTCTAAAATTATTTGGGGGCTCCTAAACTTCAAGATGTCTTAAAAATATTAATCAAGAGTGCTAATTACAAATTCAATTTCTTAAGTACTTCACCGAGCAACCTGTTTCGGGTGGTTTGCCCCACTGGGCGTCGTTCGTGTGCCCCGCCAGGGCGGCGGCGTCGCCTTTTTCGAGAGCGGCCTTCGATCTCCGATAAAGCCCGAGGATTCCCCGCGCGGTCGGCGCTGCCTTTGCCCGGCCCAACCCGTCGTCGGGCCCGCCCGCCAGCGCTAATGTCAAAGGTCGCCTCGTCGGCGCACGCCCCGCCCGCCCGGTTCGCTCGGCAGGGGCGCGAATCTTCAGTCCGGGATTGCTCTTTAGCTGCACGCAAATGGGGTGTCGTTGCAACAGGCTTCAGTTCAGAAGATGCTTCACGAGCCGGCACTACGGCAAGGAGATCGAAGTCCAAACTCAAATATGTTACAAACTTTTTTCTGTGCAGATTTTTAAAAGGTTTCTGCTGCACAGTGTTGACTCAATGATCACCAACAAGATAGCATATAGGATGATTTTTACGTCCCGAAAAATTAAATTTAAAATCTTCAAATTAGGATTGACTAAAAAGAGATAGGTTTCGATTTAACACAATTGACTTTCTACACTTAGCGATATGAGAACCTGCATAAAAATCAATTTAATACTCAGGAAAAAAATTCAAGAACGACAGTGTAAAAGATGAGCAGGTTCACTTTTCCTTTCCATTGATTTCCTTTCATTCCATTTCCCACACGTACCCCTGAAAAGTTGAAGCTGAGCGCTTTGCACGGCTGACTGTGTCCGCGCGCGTTGCCCCCAGAGCAACGGCTTCTTCGTGGTGGCGCGCTTCGACCTGGAGAAGACGCTGCGCGAGCTGGTGGTGGCGGTGGCGGTGCCGGCAGCGCTCTTCGTCGTGTCGTGGGTGTCGCTGTGCGTCATCACGCGCTCCGTCAAGGTGGGCGACGACGCGCGCATGCGCTGCCAGTACTGCGCGGGCGGCGCCGCCGCCGACCCCGAGGAGTGCGGGGCGCTGGCGCCGGCGGCGGGGGCGGGGGCGCGCGCCCGGAGGGCGGCGGACGCCGCGGGCGCCTCGCGCAGAGGACGCGAACGAACGATGAGAACACGAGGGCGCCGCGGGCTGGACCCCGTGGAGCGCGCGGCGGCCGCCGAGGCGGGGCGGTGGCGGCGGCGGCGCGGGCGGCGGCGGCGGGCGGCGCCGACTACGGCGCGCACGGCCTGCAACGGCGACGACGATGAGGAGACGGAGCTGGTGATGGGGTGCCGGTGATGGCGGCGCGCGCCGCCCGCTCGAGGGGCGCGACAACCGCGCGTCTCCCCTCGCCACGTAATGGCCGGCGGGCGCGCGCCGCGCCAACGCGCCGGGCCGCCGTCCGAAGGGGCTCCATCCAGAAGCCATCACAGTGGAGGAGAGCGATCTCTCGACTATATGACCCGCTGCATGCCATCGATAGGAGTTTCTTTGTTCCCGTGAGGGTACAACAGATAGGCAGTTACTTTTTATTACCCTAATTCTTAATCTTTTACGCATAACGATGGAAAAAACAATTCTAAAAATAATCATTAAATATTTTTATGCTTCGTGCTTTATATTACTGCAACAATTTGTGCTTGGTATCGTCGTCTGTAAAGTAGTCACAATGTTGTAAAGTCCAAAATATGTTTCAAGTAGAAAACGTGTGCTAACAGAAAGGACAACACATCAAAACGATTATTTCCCATCAATCTGAAGACCGAAAAATTGTATTGCGCCTCTTGCTCCATTTTCATGTTTTCACTAACATTCAATAATAAATTCAGCAGTTTCCTACCAATAGAAAGAACTCACAGGAGTAAGTGCCAAACAGTATATTTTCTCTCTTCAGTTTTGGATCGTTTCTTTAAAGACACATATAACAATGTGATTAGACTCGATAAAAAGAGCACACAGAAGGTACGATTTACCAAGTCGTTTTACATGAATATCAGCATTATCAGAATACTTTTCTACTGTGCAAAGCTAACACCGCACAACCTGTTCAGAGTTTGCAGCAACCCACTCAGCCTCATCTGCCTCGCGTCATACACCACCGTGCTCTTGAAGGGAGGCACAACATGAAGTAAGGAGGTGCGGAGTGAGATTCCACATTGGCAACAAACTGCAAGTTCTAAGATAGCAGTTTTTAACGCACTTCTTCGTCCCCAAAGTACGAGGCAAAAGAATTGCTTGAATGAAAAGGGATCTCCAAACTAGAGTGTTCCTTCTTCCACAATCGTCTTGAAAAACAATTGCAACGCGGTTGTCACTTCTTTTCATGGTGTTAATTCAAGAAAACCATTTTAATAAGCAATCTTATGAAAAGTCAAAATCTTCTGAATCCTTTTACAAGCTTTTGTACTCTGCTTGGCAGAAGATAAAATCTTAGTACATGTGTTTGTTTAAGCATCGAAGTGAATTATTTCATCCATTGTGAAAATTGTTATCATAAATGCTTTGATAAATTGCGTGTATTACAAATGAAATTTGTTGAGCAATTCTCAACATTTTATACACGATCTCTAACAAGCTCTCGCGTTACGTCTGGAGACCCTAACAAGCTAATGTACTACATTACGAACACCAAGCGCTTGAAGATTTACTTCCAACAGCTTTATGTTACACTGCGAGAACATGACACTTTTGTCTACCTCAAAAGTAAAACAATCTTTTTTTTTAATTATCCCGCAGTGAAAGTGGTGGTGCAGAATGAGTGGGCCTAAACGAATCTACATGAACGATGATCTCAATTTTGAAGCGTGAGTGAAAGCGAAGAACAAATGAACCTTGGGTCGTGCGATAAATGGATGCCCTTATATGGATGTCACAAATATTGGTTACACGATGCGATATATACGCTGTTGAAAAGAGGAATCAGTCTGTTTATGAATAAAAGTCGATTAGAGAGAGAGAGAGAGAGAGAGAGAGGGGCAGAGAGAGAAAGAGAGAGCAGTCAGTTTCTTTAGCTGCCGAACTCGAAATATCAACTAGATTAATCTTTTGTCAACCATCAAGAAGCAAGCATTCAAATGAAGTTTAAGAAAAATACCATTAAACCACACACAACCATAAATTTTCATTTTACATTTGCCGAATATTCCTCCGAAGATTTGGCTGACAACAGGCTTTTATCTAGTTTCAATTCTTTTAACGTTTTGTGATTAATTCGTTCTTTAGAAAGGGATGATGGTATTAAACACTCTTCGACAAATGATTATAATACTACGCTTTTCAAGCCCAAATTACCATCAATGATATGAGATGAAGATTACATACTTTCAATGATCCCTAACAGCAAAAGAACTCTTGAAATTTAATCCTCATGAATATAACAAAATAATCCAATATTTCTGGATCTCCTTACATCTGATTGCTCGAGGGCTCACGAATCATTAATGTGACAGTTTACTATCGACTTGCATTGTGTAGCTCAATGAACATAGGTGATATCCTAATAGGCGAATGTGGAAGTTTTTCGTCAACAAAAGAAGGCTCGTCGTGCACAGGCGACGAATATGCAACCACTTGGCTCGATTTAAAAGGTACCATAAAGTGGATTTCCATTTCTGGGTAAAAATGGCATGATTTTACAAAATTCATAGCGGCCTAGTTCGAGAGACAATGGTAGGAGACTGTGGCAAATGTTGTGAAGTAAATCGTACATGCGATTAGGGAAAATGCTTATACTGCATCGATTCACTGGCAAATGTCTTAGTCTCTCCAGTAGTCACAAGGCGACACTGCCTCGTCTCGCCCTTCCATACACAATATTTCCAAATTACTCAAGTTACTCAGGCAGATGATCGTGATTAAATCACGATATAAAAATATCACTATTCTATCAAAAATTTTAAAAAATCTCTACCTGTCATTACGAACCGTGCGATGAAAAGCTGTGGAAGAGCGGAAAGTTCAAAATTTTAGATGAAAGAGGTAGCTTTTAAACTGGGCCAACCACCTCCCCACAAAGAACGGGCTTAAAGCGTCACCTGTGCACTTACGCACATCTTCCTAGTTGAGATAATATTTTTCGAACATTTTATACGTGCAGGCTATATACAACATTGAGTATTTTGATATATTTACTAATCCAGATAGTTCATATACATACAATCGTCATGTATTAATTGTTGTAGCTTACCAGCAATGTTATATGGAGCACTTAATATTTTTGTAAATGAACGTTACTGTCGCCGAAGTAGGTATTAATACGTGTGATATACTTATGAGTTCGATAATGGTGTTTATTTAAATTACACTTATATATTGTCGTTCTATTTATATACGAATATATACAACACATTTATAAATGTTTAAATGCAGGCAATGCAACAACGACTTCATAATAAATTGAATGTGCTTATACGATATAGGTCAGTGGGGATCGAAGATCATCACACTGTTCATCACATAAAACATTTCAAATCACAAGCATTTGTTTAATTTTATCTCCAAAAATTTAATAATTTATTATTAATATAATTTATTATGCACAAAATTTCCTTAGTAAACAATAAACATAACAATATAAATAATGAAAAATTTTCTTAAACATAATATTCGTCCATTCTTTAACATACTCAACAATTTATTGTAGTCTGACACTGCGGACCATATGAATCGCTCTCATGGACAGACACATCACTTGGGTAAATTTCTTAGTCTCTTTGAAATAAATTGCGACTGTGAAAAGCAGTTGTGATATTAATTGCCCTGCATACTAGTGATTCAATTCAATATACATTTTATGTTCATTATGTGTTTAAGAAATGATATGTGTATTATCAAGAAAACGTTTGTCAGTCATGGCAAAAGTGAAAGATCTACCATTTTCCCATTGTAAGTAATTTGTCAAAGTGGCTTCAAATACGGGGAATAATTGCCATGCTGCCGTATTCATTAAAACCTGAAAGACAAGATACGATTAAAAACCAAAAAAGGTTGGCTCACAGTTTGGAAAGACAATTAAAACAACTTACTTATTTCTATTACCCGGTCGTAGTTGCAATAAAGCGGTGAATTTGACTTTCTTTAGCTCCATAGTTTGCTTTCTTTCATTACTTTATTCAAGCATAATGAAAATAAATCCAGTATTTTGAAAATGTATCTCCATCCACATTAGCGTGTGCTTCTGGAACCTACTCTAGTGTCACAGAGCGGACCAAACAATAAGAGTCATTGCATTTCGATGTGCACATCTGGACGGAGATCTTACTGATATCACATGTACAATTTAATTTTTTTATTGAAATAACTTTCCGTGAAGCGCACACTAACGGTCGTTTATCTTCACGCAATGCCTCTGGAAAAGCCTAAACTACTACGGAAAAATTATTCATCAGAGAAATAGCATGCAAAATTAAATTGAATATAAAATTATCAATGGTAATAATACCACATTCAGAGAATTGCATAAATTTCAACGTACTTTTTTCATACATAACAAGAATGGTCATTAAATAAGATACGTTTTCTTCATTTCTACTCTAAATATTCATAATGCACACACCCAATATGCACAATCAAAAGAATTTTGGAGATCCGAAGTAAAAATTCCAAAACTATTGATTAAGCTAACTTATACGAAATAATCGAAATAATATTCGAAATAAAACACATTGTATGAAAAAAAACCGGAAATATACCCATATCTTTTCTGCCCAATGCCATGGCTCATATCTTATGCCTACTATCAATCACAACACATTCGTGACAACACGCTACACTCTGACGAAACTCATAAACCCATTCATTTGAAACGACCCGAAGGGGCTCTGACCCGCCAGACAGGGCATCGAACCGTAATATTTTATTCTAGTATTCGCTATATTATCTTTCATTAAAATTCATGGTTTAATTAGTATTTTTCAGCTAGAACCTATAATTAATAGAATCCAGGCATTTCATCAAACCCAATCAATTAAACAAAATCTTTTTTTTTAATTTCTGCGATACGAAGAATTGCAAGTTAAGGACAATTTCACTCGGACTTATTTAGACTATATTTGTGGTACTTACGAAGGGAAAAAATACAAAATTATTAGTGCTCAACTCTGTTTATAATATTCTTCTTTTGAAATTCTACTTTTTTTACAATACTTTACTTTTTTTCAACATTTTTCAGCAGTACACAAATAACAGGCGTACATGAAACCAAAAGCTTGCTACTAAACTGCGATATCTTCACAGCAAGTGCCCTTCGGTGAAACTAATGAATGCAATCAGAGACCGTAGACCTGTCGCTTCCGGAGACA